AAAAAATATAAACAAAAAAAAAAAAAAAAAAAACACTGGGACATATTACAAACTATCTTCGTCAAACTGGTTTGGAACAATGTCAGGGTGAGTGGAATGATTTTTGAATGTATGTATTTATTTATGTATTTATTTATTTTTATAGGTGGTGGTGGGGGCTTACCCTTGAATTTTCAATTGGCTTTTGGATTATTGCAGAAATAAGCTCTGTGATCAACAAAAGTTTATGATTCTCACATATTTTATTCATCATGATAATCTTCACAAATTAACAAAACTTTTATGAACTTTGGCAATCAACAGAAGTAAAGAGCTAAACATAGGCTATAAACAAACTAGACCACTTCAGCGTCACCATCGCTTAGTTTCCGACAACTCAGTCTTTTATTTAAAAAAAAAAAACATTTTCTCTGAAAGTTTGAGTTAGAATAGTTTAATAGAGCATGATTATAAACACAGTGAGGTTGTGAAAGTGGACTAGAGAAGATGTGTTCACCTGTTCGCCATGATGAGGTTTAATGTTCTGTAGTCCCATTCACCTTATTTCAGGCCTTTAACCAAACACTTGATTCAAAAACCCCATGGACTTTGGGACGATGAAACCGGAAGTGCTACAGTGCTTGTTTCTTTCTCGTTTTTGCCCTTCAAAAATATGGCATCCTTTACAAACTTACAATTTTAACATTTAAAAATGTATACACTTTAGTAATGACTCCTACCTTTATAGGTATTATATTATTATACTACATTTCTAACATGCTTTTGACATTATATATACAAATACAGGTGCATCTCAATAAATTAATATGTCATGGAAAAGTTCAATTTATTTAATACACGAGTTTCACAATTTGAGTTGAATTACTGAAGTAAATTAACTTTTCCACGACATTCTAATTTATTGAGATGCACCTGTATACTATTCTGGGTGTTTCTGGGTCAGTCAGACCTGCATGTTATTATAAAATGTCATCGTCTACTTCAGAAAAGTGCTCTTTCAAGTAGTTCCATGATTCATGCTTGAATCTTCTTTTTTTCCCTCCAGAATCCCCTCCCTTTCAGTGCACTTGTTCTTGCAATCCTAACCCCTCCTCACACTTTTACTATGATTGCCCCTTCTATAGTACGTGTTCCCTCTCTATACCCCTGCCATCGCTCTCCTTGAGAGGAGTTTTTTATCATTGCGACCCATCTCTGGTTTATAAGCTAGGGGATGTATGCTAATTCCTCCCTGGGGGCTTGTTTTAAAGAATCCCTGATGTCTGCGGCCGGACCTAATCTGTGCTTGCAAACAACACGAAATGTTTGCAGGGGAGCACCTTTTGTATTCAGGGCAAAACAATCATCCCAATGGGGAGCGTCTTCGTCTCATCTCAATTCTGACAGTGTCTCCTGGTTCTTTTTTTTGACTCGTTTTACTGCTCTTTCTCTCTCTCTCTTGCACCCTCTGTCTTTCCTTTTTCTATTTAGAAGTATTAGAGACACATTCTCTGTGTCTTTCTGCTGAGGAGGCGATGAGCCCTCAGTATGAAGTCATAGGAGCCTCTGCGGCTCACAGATTAAGTTGGAAGATGAAGATGTAGGCTTTACCTTTCACAAACACACAGATGATGCGGGAAGGGTTACATCCAAACAGACCTAACAAACGTGTTTCTCTTGCAATGATTTTGTGTTCTTTTACACTATGCCAGTACTAATAATTGAATGATGTGTTGTCAGGGACTAAACTGTTGTAGGTTGTGGAGTGATAATTTAAATGCATTTTAACTCATTTGTCAAAAATACAACACTATTACAGCTAGTCGACTCTAATCTAATGATGACTATATTTAAACCTGTTAGTTGCTGGTTAGCAACAGCGTCCTTGATTTGACTCAAGTAATAACACATGAATAACATAGTAATAATAATAATAATAATTTATATATATCTAGAGTGATGAGTTTCACTTAACCATAAGTAAACAAATCTTGCTTCATTTCAAGACGAACATGATTGAAAGCAGTGATAACTTGCAGTTCATTTAAACTGTTTCAGACTTGCAACTCATGAGTTCATGAGTCTCTTCATTTCATTTCATTTCATTTCATAAAAAAAAAAAAAAAAAAAAC